TGAATAAAATTAACTGATATAATTATTAAATTTTGAATGAACTTATTTAATATATTATACAAGACCGTATAACTTTTATTTATTTAATGTGTATTCAAAACACTTTTTGCTAAAATATTTATCATAATATTTCATCATATTTATTTAAAAAATTAAAATTTAATGTATAAATATTGCTAATAACTTAAAAAGTTAGAATAATATATAAATTTTTTTATAAAAAAAACCCGCACGCACAGTGCGTAGGAAAATAACGTATTCATAACATGAAATAAAATTTGAAAGTTTTTAATTTATTTTGAATTTAATTTGTGTCATTGTTAACAAAACTTTTGCATTGACATCTTATGACAGGAGTGCTTGAAATTGGATTAAATCAATTTCTAGCTTAAAGTCATCTAATATGATCATAAAGTTACAGTATAATTTGGTTTGAATTAGTTTGAAAAAAAAAATCCAATCCAATTTGATTCAATCAAAAGAGGTTTAGATTAGATAATTAAGTTTTTGTAATTTTATTTTTAAATTAGTTAAAAATCAATAAACAAATTATTTTATTATTTTGAACACTATTTTAGATCTATTTAAAATAAAATTATAAAAAATAGTTAAATATTATAAAATGTATAATTTTAAAAGTACGAATGGTATATCATAGCAGAAAAATTCGAATGGTATATTATTTTTAATAATGATTAATAAAAATAAAATTACATATAAATATAAATTTAGCTTAGATTGAATTAGATCAATTTTAAATAAAATTTAAAATTCAATCAAATCTAATAAAATATTTTAACTTTTGTAATTTTTGGTTTATTTAATTTCTAGTTAATTCAATTTATGTAATTTGTATTAAATTGGACCGATTGATTGGTCAACGCCTCTATCAGATGATAATGTATCACATTATTATTAAATAAATTTAAATAACAAAATAATTACAACTAAATAATTCAAAAAACATATGCTTAATTTCTCTGAAGTAAATTTTGATATAAAGTTATATGTTGAGAAAATTAATTAATCTCATCATGTTATGTATATTTATAGTTTAAATATGATTATTTTGCATGGAGGATACTTAATGAATTTTTATTTTTTTTTACATTAATAATATATGAAAGAAGTACGATTGCACTTTCGATTCAATAGTAATGTCCTATTTTATATTTAACTTTGGCTTTTTGGCTAACAATTAAAATTGGACTATTCTTATATCCACTTAAATATTACTCTAATAATTACGTTAGTTTTTTTAGCATATAAGTTTTATAATTTTTAAAAAATATTAAATAAAATATATTTTATATATTAAAGTTCAAATTTTTAATTATATATATTGTATACAATTTTAATTAAGTTGTCTCAGTAATTATGTAAAACTGAAATGTATGGAATAAATCAAACAATAATATTGTGAAAAGGCTGCAATCTGACCGTTTCGAATCATAGTGAATGATTCAAAAAATTAAAAAACAAATAAATATTAAATATTTTAATTTCTTGTCATTATCTTTTCTATTTGCAAAGTATAATGATCTGTAGAATAATGATTGATAGTTTAAAAAGTTATAGTTAATGTCTACAAATTAGAATGATTGTTAGTTTAGGAGCATTTAGTTAAGAAAAGTTAAAATATATGTAATGTATAGAATAAAATTATGCTAATGCTATGTTGGCATGAAATAAAAAAAGAGAAAATAAAAGGATAAAAAAAGAGTAAAATTTTAAAAAATAATGTGTAATTAAACGAATAAAAATTAAAAATTACTTATTTAATTTAATAAAAATGATAAAAACAAATAAATTATGTCTAGAAAATTGTAATAATTATAAAAATTAAATTTGATTAATTTTTTTTTACTATAATATGTTTTAATATCTTTTACATTATACAAAAATGATTTAACAATAAAAGAAAAATCCAATGTTGCCTCTCCACATCAGGCACTCCATTTCATAGCCCAACAGGACATAAATGAAATTTAGTAGATCACATAGAAATTAATCAATTTGACTTACTGTTTATTCTCAAAATAAATGAAAGAAGTAGAGTGCAATTAACTTTTTTCAGATATTTTTTAATTAATCTCAACTCCTTTCATTGAATCTATAAAAAAAAAACCAATAACATATAGAATCTAAAAACGTTTTCAAAATTATAGAAATGTTTTGCCCTTAACAATAAATAAGAGAACCGTAAGAAAATAAATAAAGTATGAATTATTATAAACTCTTTTACTTCAGTTGTCGTACTAATAATGTGAAACTTAATATGTATTATATATAAAAATACAAAAGAAAATAAAGCGAAAAAGCTGCAATCTGACTTTTTAATCATAGTGAGTGATTCATAAAACTAAATAAATAAATAAATCAAATATTAGATAAGTTATTATTATTATTTTTAGTATTTGCAAAGTCTTATTAAAATAATAATTATCGAGTAAAAGAAAGATATCTGAATTAACATCTAAGAACCTATTTGTATCAACTTGAGAACCAATTCTTTCAAAGCTGAAAAACAATCAATATTATTAATTGCGATTATAACGCGGATAAAAACAAACATTGGTGATAAGTTTTAAGTAAAATTTTTATCTCTTAATTTTAATCCTTTAACATTTAAATGTTTTAATCTCATGTTCTTCAAATTTGAGGAGGCGTTGAATAATGTCTAACTTATAAGGACAAAAAATTAATAAAATAAATGTAGTTAACAAAATAATTGACCTAGCCATTTAAATTATGTTTAAAATCAAAAGATTAAATTAAATTTTAAAAAATAAAAATACCAAAGTAAAAATAAAAGTAGACAACCGAATATTTAATTTTCTCTAAATTTTGTCTTTTAAGGTATTTCATTATTACTAAATGCTCAAACAAATAGACCCTAAAACTAACTTAACAGAAACAGTTTTCCACAAGTACCAGTCAAATAATTATCAATTTTTCTTACAATTTAATTGATCTATCGATTAAGTATTGAATCTAAATAATGATTGATAAATTGAAAAGTTAAGAATGGTTAAAATTGTAGTATAACATAATGGTTTATAAAGATTTTATTGTGATTTTTCATTTTTACAACGGTAAAATGGTATAAATTACTCTAATGGTAACTCAATGTGCTTTTATCTTAAATGATTTGAACTCTTACACTTAACTAAAAGTGTGAGATTTTTTTATTCCTTATATTTTATTTGAGAGTTAATTTTTTTAAGAAGAAATGAACCAAAAAAAAAAAGATTTTTTTATAATCATTTTTGTTTAAATTTTCTTTATAAACTCTCTTAAATTCATATTTTTAAATTCTCACCTTTTATGCTTCTTTTTTTTTCAAAACTTTCAAACAAATCTTTAAATTACTTAACCTAATTCTAAAATTTAAGTAAGCATTGATTCTAGACAAATCTTTTTGTGCCTACTATATTTTTTTATATATAACATCTTCGTATCAATACTCCAAAAACCTATTCTTCTATCATGGCTAAAGTGTAAGAGCAAGTATATTTAACTTTAATTTAAGTGTATTCTCTCAATTTAGTTTAACATAATTTAGACTATTATTTTATGAGAGAAATTCATTATAATTTTAAAAAAAAATTCAAAATAGAACAAAAGAAGAGAAAAAAAAATTCATAAATGCATTATTAACAATGAACTCCTCTAAAACACAAGGGATTATCTAAAAACAAAATTGGATTAGGAACTAAATTAAAACTGTGTTACACTTACGAGGGGACACACGCATGTATAACAAAAAAAAACATGTAATTATTACATTAGCATCTTTTGGCCTCGTACAAAATGACGTTATAATATATACAAATATCAGGAGTTACTTTGAATATTTTACACGTATATGGATTAAATTAAAAAAATTCTTTATAAAAAATAAAATTAAAATCATGTGACATATACGAATAAATTCATATTTTAACCTCACTTTACTAAGAGAGTTATTATATTATATATAAATAAATCATAATTAAAAATATTAAATTTATTAGTTACAATTTATACCATGTACTCATTCATCATAGAAACACAGATATTAGTTTTCATGAGAATTTCAAATCATTGATCGACAAAATAATTGTTAATCATTCTAATTGAATAAAAAAAATTAAGTGGCGTTGCATATTCTTCAATAATATATATATTTCAAAAACAGCATTTATATTTTCACGCACTAACAGGTGAGAAAGATTGAAGTGAGCGTTTGGGGGAATAAAAGAAAGTCACAGAAGCGGGGTAAAAAATTTCAATCCTTAGTATGCAAATTCAAAAACTGATATTGCTGCCAATGGACAAATCCTTACACAGTTCACACACACATTTACACCACATATTGTGTCTGGCCATCCAAATTATTTTCCTTATAACTATGGAGTTTAAATAGGAAAAAAAATGAATGGTACATTAAGCATGACCAAATATGACAAGATAAATGAAGCACACAATGTCACGAACCATTTATTCTCAATGCAAAAATTGGGTCGCGACGCTTAGCTGGTTAAGTCACGTTCCTTCTCATGCCTCCTTAAAAATCACAAAAATTCAAATAAGAAGCTCATGTACGTGTGATTTTCAATTTGTTTATATATGTATATATACACCTAATAGCTGCATCGGTATATGACGTTAGGTCACAAGTGCTCTTTTCTTTATCTACTGCACTATTATATCATATATATACGCATATAGTGCTTCAAAATGCATAGTGGACACTAGTCTACGCCGCCATGATATACTGCACACACTGCACGTAGCTCATAAAATTCAGCGATATATTCAAATTTCCCTTCATACCCGCGCACTAACCTAAGCACCCATTATTTTTTAAATTTATTTTATGTTCACCCCTTTTTTAATTTTTGACAATTATTTTTCCAAGTGTGTGACCGTTTTGAAAAAAGTTAGAGAGAGAATGAAAAAACCAACAAAATAACAAACAAGACACATCACTTCCTAGTACACCTGTACACACTAACTACACTTCTCTAACTAAAAGGTTTTATGATTCAGCCTCCACAGTCCGATGTAATGAGGCTCTTCTCAGTTTTTCAGTCTTAACCCAGACAGCAGAATCTTAAACACAATATTCATAGTCGAGGTATTAATCTACTTGAGAACTTTGAACAGTTTTTTTCTCATTTGGGTATTCCCAAAGTTCCTTAAATTTAGATCTATCACCTTTTCTGGGCTATCAATTGCATACATTAGTTGTAGCTGCTACAGCATCAAATACAGAACCTCTCTCGGGTTTCGAAAAATACGATTTTGATCCCACCCCATGTACCCTTTACAGGCCCTAATGTGTATTCTTTATTCATTTTGTATCTTTCTTCTTTTATGTGGGTTTGGCTCCTTAATTTGAGCATTGGGTTATGTTCTGTCTTAGTTATAGAGGATAAGAGAGAGTGTGAGATCAAAGGGTCTGAAAAGTTAGGATCCGAGGCCATTTCTTTGGAGGGTAATAGGCATTTTTGTTTCACTTGAGTAGCTTTTGGTTAAGGTGGCTTTTGGGAAGGGAATTTATGCTTGTTACGGTTCCCGTTTTGAAACCCAACACTGTGTTGTGAGGTGTGTAAAAGGTGAATGAAAGAGAAGGAAGAAGGTTTTTTTTTCTTTCCCCCACTTTTTGTTTATTCATTTTAATTTTTGTTTTCCTTTTTCTATAAAAATCACAGAGGAAAAAGCTCTCATATTATAAAGGGGGAGCGTTGGCTTTAGCATGCAACTTGGCTTCGGTAAAAAGAGGGAGCGTCCAAGAAAGAGAGCCATACCAATAGAATAAACATTCACACACAAAGACAAGAAGATCATGCAAGATATGAAGAAGCAGCAGAAGCAGAAACAGAAACAGCTGGTCAATGAAGAATCTAAGAAGAAGGAGCGTCACATTGTGACGTGGACTCAAGAGGTCCTTCTTCCCTCACTATAAAATTGTTTTCTTTTTCTTTTTGGTTTACATCTTCTTCTTATTTATTGTTTGTTATTCTTTTGAATTTCTCATTCTTTGGACGAGTGTCTCATGTGTATTATGTGAGTTGCAGGAGGATGATATACTGAGAGAGCAGATTGGTATCCATGGAACTGAAAAGTACTCACTCACACTCATCTTTAGTCATAAGTACTTTTTCATTTTTCTTGGATATGTGAGAATAAGGGGTTTTGCTTGCAATAACTACATGCAGTTGGGCAATTATTGCTTCTAAATTCAAGGACAAAACGACAAGACAGTGCAGAAGAAGGTGAAGATTTTGAATTGATATGTGTTTTTTTTTAATTTTGATGATGATTCATTCAAGATATTTTCTCTGGTCCTCTACTTATCATTTGGCTTGTGAAGACTTTCAAGTTTCATGGCTCCTGCTTTATTCTATTGTCAATCTGATGCTTAAGTAACTGATCACTTACCAGATGGTACACTTACTTGAACTCTGATTTCAAGAAAGGAGGATGGTCACCAGAGGAAGACATGCTCTTATGTGAGGTAAATTGATGCTGCCTGTGTTCCATAGCTACACTTTTATACCACAGTAACTTCCATCGGAGTTTAACAAGTTTATCTGATAATAGTGAGCTGAAGAACTTGAAATTTTGGACTTCATCTTTTCCTTTTTTACTGTCTTTTCCCTCTGTATGGTAGACCTCAATCCATTGATGTACTTCAGGATTTTGAGTGCTAGTACCGTTGCAATTGGCAAAGTCTTTCATTTTTTTATTGAAATCTACCCTATTAAGAGTAGATTACAACCAAAAGTAACCAAGATCTTCTGTAACTATTGTATTGTTCTGTAGATGACACCAATTGTGTTACACCTAAAATTGTATCGTTTCTGATTGCTTTTCATCTATGAGCTAATTTCTTACTATTATTTCCGTAGGCACAAAAAATATTTGGTAACAGGTGGACAGAAATAGCAAAGGTGGTTTCAGGCAGGTAATCAAAATTTCATTCTTCTCCTCATGGGAATACAAAATAAACATTTTTTTACAACAGTTGTTCTTATTACAATGCTTCTCATTGCTTTGTATGCAGAACGGATAATGCTGTTAAAAACCGTTTCTCCACATTGTGCAAAAAGAGAGCAAAATATGAAGCCTTAGCAAAAGAAAACAACACTGCATACATCAATTCAAATAACAAAAGGATTTTTCTCCATCAGAACTGTCATACAGATGCAGCATCAGAATCTGCAGTAGCTCTTAAGAAGATGAGGTATGGCAAACTGAGAAATCAAAATACACAAATTGTACCAAGAAGAATGTTAACACATCGTTCACTGCAATGTAGGAGGTCCCATATCCCTGATTCTGCAGAAAAGATCAACTTCGGAGACAGATCACATAAACAAAATGGAATTCCAATAAATCAGCAGCCAAGAGCACCATTTGCAGTTTTAGCTCAAAACTCTCATAATGTCAACATGCCAGACCAGCATCATGTCTGCACTTTGAAGTTTAGTGGTTATGGTAATGCCTTCAATTTAAACATTTTTTGTTATGGAACTCGATTCCTGCTGTTGCAAAACTCAAAATAAGAAAACAGGACAACATTAAGGGTGCATTTGGTTTGCGGAAGTGTTTTCTATTTTTATTAATAATTACAATAACGTCACATCATATTCACCTCATTTACTATGTTCCCTATACCTTATACAAATATTTTAAAACAGAAAACAAATGAAAATAATGCAACATTTTTATAATCATTAATGAAAACTGAAAATGAAAGTAGAAAATATATTCATAAACCAAACGCACCCTAAGTGGGTGTTTGCTTTGTTTTCTATTTTCATTTTCATTCCCTTTTTCAGTCAATATGTTTTCACTAGTAATTATGAAAATATCACATTTTCATTTTCGATTCTTTTGTTAAAGAAATGGTGAAACTTAAAAACAACAAAAGGAAAAAAGGAACTAAATGAAAATAAGGTGGCATTTTTATTATTATTATTGAAAACATATCAACGAAAAATAAAAACAGAATAAACCTAACACCTCTAATATTTTAAGCCTGAAATATCAAATAACTTTGGTCATCATCATTCTAATGACCTTGGTTTGTCATGTTTTTGCAGCTCAAAACAACAAGATTCAAGGAACATTCCTTAAAAAGGATGATCCAAAGATAAGTGCATTGATGCAACAAGCAGAGTTACTAAGTTCGCTAGCTCTAAAAGTTGATGCAGAGAACATGGACCAAAGTCTTGAAAATGCGTGGAAGGTGAGGCTTAATGGTTTCAGAACTTGCCTTTGTTTTCGTTTTTTTATATGAAGAAGTTCAGCATCAGCAGAAATAAATCAATTTTTCATATGTCAAACATATCTGCACAAAAATCATGAAAGTCATTTAACATATTTGATGCTGGCTATAGAAAACCTATAATAGGTTCATTGGCCAGCTGGATAGTATGTAGTTATTATTGGAAAGATTTAGTTGATTCTGTTAATGCTTCTATATATTTCTGTACTAGCTGATTTTACTGTGCTTTGTTCTTCATCACCCTGGTCATGTATAATATGCTAATCACGAAGAATTAGATAGTGTAATTTATACACTAATGCAACATTTCTATCTATGAGTTTGATGCATTTATAAATGTGAAAGCTTTTAGGTTGAGGCCCAGGAATGACTTGTGTATCTCTAACATGCTACTTTACCTCATGCTAAATGTAATTTTTCGAATGATGAGGTGGCACAAATTGAACACTTTACACCACTTAGTAATATAAGCTCTGCTCTATTGTGATGATTGAAATTATTATAAATCATGAATGGTAGTAATCTTGGCTTCTTTTCTCTGATATAATTTCATACGGCAGCTAGCTAGCATATAATCAAATATAAAAAGCTCAACTTGGTTATGATAACCCATCACCGGCTGATATCAATGAAGCTTAGTTTTTAAGCATATAAATATGAGAAAGGCCATTGTTCAAAAAACATGTTCTAACACTTGTGTGAATTTATGGCAGGTTCTTCAAGAGTTTCTGAACAGAACCAAAGAATCAGATATTCCCAGATATAAGATTCCAGATTTACAGCTCGTAGATCTTAAAGATTTGTTGGAGGACTTAAAGAGCAGTAGTGAGGAAATCCAGCCATGCTGGAGGTACTTACTTTAAAGTTCATAAAAAATGTGAATTCTTGAGAGGAATGGAATATCTAATAGTTTCTGCATCTATTATAGGCAAATGGAACTATATGAAGACTCTCCTGGAAGTTCTGAATACAGTACAGGATCAACTCTCCTTCCTCATGCAGCTGGTGAGAATTTGGAACACTCACTGCATCAGGATATTGGAACTGAACTAAAGTGTATACAAATTGGAGATCAAAAAGGATTTAGGGGATGTGACCAAGGTGGTCTTTCTAGTGCAACTCTGGGTCAAGGTTTGTTGATCAAGTCCAATGATAACAAATTAAGGGACAACAATTTTTGGTAAAAACATTTCCAGTTTAGGAAAAATTGGCCACTCTACCGGATACTGTGTAGCCACTTGTTGATCTAATATAAATGGTTAATTATTCCTACAGAAGAAATATTTTGAATGAGAAACTATTTTTTTATAGTTTCCTTTAAATAAAATTGTTTTTATATGCTAATATGATAACATTTTAATGAATCAGAATTGCTAATTAGATATATATGTCGATCTTGAGCAGATTTATTCCCATGTTGTGAGGAACAGATAAACAATGATGGCATTGTTTCTATCTTGTCAAGTACGGAGGAGTTCAGTTCACCTCTCCAAGTTACCCCTCTGTTCAGATCCTTAGCTGCTGGAATTCCTAGCCCTCAATTTTCAGAAAGTGTAAGTTACCCAAGCACTTGGAGATCAAATGATAAGCTCAACTACAAGATTATAATTGTAATAATGACAATGATTCTTAAATTTTAACATCAACTTTCTCTTACATTCATTAACAAATAGGGGAGACAACTTAACCCATGCATCATACAAGTTGTACCCTCAATATTTCCTCTTGTAGTTCTTAACTTCTTATTAGATAACGCTCAATCAGATCAACTTCAGTAGTAGCGGTGGATATCTTTCAGCACTAGTTAATGGTGGACATAGTAATAGGACGATAAATCATGGATGCCCAAGTTATGTACTGTTACTAAGCTTAAGATTTTATATTAAAAAATTCATAATTAACATCATTGATGCAGATGAAAATTGAATAGAAGTTTATTCAGCGTTATTTTCATAAAAAAATTCAGCTGGGTCAGGCAAAACAGGAAGTGGTGGGAAGGGGAAAGGTAGTTACACAATTGGCCATGGGTTTTAAGACAGGAAATAACTTGCGTAGCAATGTTAATAAGCATATATTAAATGTCATATAACTGAAACTGGAGGATAAAGCTTCTGTGTTGCAAGGATAAAGGCTCCTTTTTTGGCCATGATTAGTTCTTTATTCCTAATAAGTATATTTTCATAGCTGAGAAAATATGCTGACACAATATTGATAAAGCAGATATTATGATACCATATATAGCTGAGGCATATAATTATTTGTGTCTTTGTGCTGAAAACTATTGAAGTAAAGAACATCTTACCCACCAAGATATTATTTTGCGACAGGATTTAGAGTGTAAGCTGTTAATTGTTATCACAATCTCCATTCCTCATGTGGTTATTGTGGTATATCTGTATAACACAACCAGACATCTATCATTCTTGCTGCATCAACTATTCATGAGCTAAATTCTGCAGGACACAAACATATATCTACCATTCTTGCTGCATCAGCCATACATTAGCTAAATTACTGCTTTGTATGTTCTTACTGGACTACGTGGAATTATAGATTGCATGGAACTCAAAATTATTCATGCAAAATCTTTATTTTTGAAAAAAAACGAAGCCCTCTGGTTTGTATCAAACTTCAACCCAAGGATAACCATATTTTCTTCTTTCTTTGACGTACTTTTTTTTTTTTTTTGTTTCAGGAAAGGAACTTCCTTATGAAAACACTCGGAATGGAGTCTCCATCCCTCAACCCAAGTACCAACCCCTCGCAACCGCCACTCTGCAAAAGAGCCCTTCTACAAAGTTTATAATTCGAATCTCTAATTCATCTGAAATACAAAATATTTAGATGTCATTTCCCCTTTCTGAACCCTTTCTCCCCACCCATGGCAATCTGGCTTGTTAGTTCTTCTATGCCTGGTTTGAGAAAGATTGCAATTTTGTTCAGCCTAAAATTTTGAAAGCCATACCCTCCCCTAGAATGTTATGGTACATTCTAAGGATCTTCAACACATCTAACTGTGTCCTTTTCCTCTCCTCCCCCACAAAGGGGTTACCTTTCTTAATACTTGCACCAAAAAAAATAGTGTGCTTAGTGTGTCATTCTTTGGTTTGTTTTGATATCAATCTGGGTTTGTTTTTCTCCAATCCAGCTTTTGATCTTGGTTTGCCTTTGTACAGAACCTGTTGTGTGATACTAGTGATCCTGAGTGTATGTAAACACCGGCGATTCGCCAATCCTACTTCATATAATGAACAGAGACATAGATAGAAGAGAGAGAGAAGAAAAAGGAAAAAAAGTGAGAGTAAAAAAGATTAACCTGTGGCAAATTGAATTCCTCTTGTTGTTTTGTGTGTGCATAGATTATAGAATAAACATTTTTTCCTTTTGGTTCTGATGTACTGAAACATAGTTATAATTGGAGTGAAATTGCATTTTGGCTTTGGTGTGCAGATAATTCTTCTGTTATGTCTATTCTAACCTGGATCTAACACAACCATATGTAGACAACTCTTCAAACAAAGCAAAAGAAAAGCAAGGAATTTTCAGCGGGAAAAGAAACAGGCATTAACACAGTCTTTCAAAGAACATGGTGAAAGTTAAGGGACTATTTGATTTTAGGAAATGTTTTTTTGTTTTCATTCCGTTTTCAAATATTTGTATTAGAAACAAAACTTTTTTCTGTTTTCACTGTTTACTGTATAAATCTTAGAAAACAGAAGGAAAATAAAGCGGTAGTTTTGTAATTAAAATTGAAAATAGAAAACAAAAACAAAAATGTTTCTAGAAATCAATGAGGCAAGCTTCAACTGGCTTCCCCAACCAATAGAAATGAAACAGAAATAAAAATGCCGAATAACACCACTCAAAACTGTAGGTAGCAAACAGCAAGCAATTTATGACAAGTTTGGCACTCTCTCACTCTTGCAAAACACAGAGCTTTCAGCAATATGAGCTCCATTTTGTTTCCCAAAAGAAAAAACTTCACAAGAAATATGAAGAATGGAAAAGTTGAATACTTACAGATAGCACAGCAAACCTTGTACTATGTCTGACACGGGCATGCAAACATTTTACTCAATCTTTACCTCCAAGCTCTTTGGCTGATGGTTATTTTGCGTAGAAGTGTGAACTCTGCTTTGCAGAAAAACAGTTCTGGAGGAACTGCATTCTTATTTAGTGAGGATGATTAGTGCATTGGTGGTGGTCGAAGACAGGAGACAAATAACAATAATGACTATAGCTAAAGCGATAGGTAAAAAGAGGAGGGAACTCCTTACAAAATAAAGCATCTTCATTAGCTGTTAACTTTCTCGAGAGAAGGTACACTTTGACTCATTTGACCTCCCATTTTCCACTCATTCAAGTTCATCTTACGTAAAGATATATGCTGGTCAGAGCCTCAACTGATTTTTTTCAATGGGTATAATGATCTTGTAACGAGTAATGGTATTCACATATTGGTTTGTTTTTAGATTTGAGTTTAAATAATTAATAATAGTAAGTTTTTATTAAAAAAAATATTGATTACACTTTGATCTCTAGTATAATAACTTTTGTTGATTAAAAAACTAACATTTTAGTTGTTTAGATAACATTTTCCTTTGTGTCTATACATCATTTTTTTAAAGTGAGAAAATATGTAGAGAAAGTGAATATATATCTTCTACAGATTTGAATTTAAGCATTTATTACATCTAACAAACTTTTAAATGAAAGATTAATAAAGTATCATTTTCTTACTTTACACATCTTTTCACTTTAAAAGAGTGAAATCCTTTCAGAAAGTAGTTATTGTGGCTACAATTGTGCCGATGTTCTATTTTATTTGGCTTTAAAATTAGTACATAAAGCACTATTCTTCTAAATAATGGACATGTCCCCCACCAGTTCTAAAGTGAATTTGCCCATGGAGATCCAACCACTCAGATAACCGCAATTTCATTTTTTCTTTTTCTTTATTTTTCATACTATATTAAAATTTCTTAAATGGAATTTGAGCTTGGGATATCAAAGAAAGTTCAAACCACAAATACAAACAATATCTGAAGGTTCAATAAAATGTCAGAATAACATTTTAAATTAGTCATTAGGTATTTTTGTTAAAAAAAAAATTATTGAATTCTCCCTAGAGTATTTAACATTGAAAAAAGGTTTGTCAGCCAGAAGTGCTTGCATGTTTATTATAAACTTTATTAAAAGAAAAATCACCTAAGTAAAATATAAATTTGAACAAAAAAAGTCTGAAAGCAAAATAAACTAGTGCAGACAATTCAGTATAGCTACTTTTATTGTTCAAACCGCTACTTAGAAAGGCTGCTTTAGGCGCTTATAAATATTGGGATTATCTGCTAAACAAACGAGAGAAGCTGAGAGTAAAAAAATCACGATTCATGTTTACAAAGGGTATATAGCTTTGCCTTAATATTATGCTATAAAACTAAACCTAGTTTTTCATTACAATACACAGGCAACTGATCATTGGCATAATGAATAAGAAATGGGTCGAACCTTTTAATTTTTTTTACTTCTCAAAATGGATCTATTCAATTACAACTACGAAATTCTTTTGCATAAAACTAAATCTGGTTCATTGAACCTTAAAATTTTAATTATATTGGGTTGTTGGGCAATTTAGCTACGATAGTATTAATGTTTGACTTCAAATTTGCTGAAGGGCTTCACGTGGCTTTTCTTTTCTTCTGCAATCTCTGCAACTTCTGCCACTTGAGGTAGATCTGATAAGACAATCCTGAGAATACCATAAAAACACACCCCCATTGCTTTGTTGAGAGGGGATTCCCACTCAATAGTGAAGATATCACAATGCTTACAAATTTGCGAGTTGTAGTGATGGTAGTGTTAGCCAACGAGCCAAAACGGCTTATGGTCAAGAAGATGAAATTTTGGCCTACAGCACCACAGCAGCAATAGAGAAAAATATCCCATGCTACCTCTGGATGCTGTTTGCAGAAGTGAACTGCCTCAAATCCACTGCCACGGGGCCATCCAAACATGTAAATCATATTATATATGGTTCCCCATAAATTCATGCCCAACATAATATCCCAAGCACTTGTTTTTGGGTACCTGAGTAAGACAAGCCAAAAGTTTAAAAAGATAGAATTAATATCAATGAATCTATATGTAAGATGTTCTCGAATATTTGAGATGTCAACATCGAACAGAACCTCAAATATTTGACATGTGAAAGCAACATGCAATGGAGTTTTTCCTACAAGCAACATTACATGGGAGAAGGAAACATGAAAAATCTTATTTTCTTTTGTTTTCTTGACAATTAAATTACCTACTAGATACAAACTAATCGCACGGACCAATATTTTTCAGCCAGTAAGCTAATAACAAAAGCCTCAGATTGTAAGCCAATCCATTTTGGTTTGTTTCTTCAGCTACCAATATTGAACTTTAACAAATGCATCAAACAAAATTAATTAATAAGAACTGCATTTCAAACTTCATAGCTGGATTTAACGAAAATACAACTGAACCGAAGAGAAACAATTCCAAGAACTGTCCATTTAGAAATAGTTCTCATTAGTTGCTCTTGATTGAGATTGCTTCGTATTTGTCATGCAACATTGGAGAAGTGATTTAGTTCTAAGAAAAATGAAAAACAGAAGGTACACATGGAGGTGTCCAAGGGGGGTGAACTAGAGAAGAAATCGAGGCAGTGCATGGGTAAATTTTGTAGTTTACAAGATATCTGACAGACAGGAGTTGTTGTATGCCAAATCAAAAGAGAGAAGCTTCTCGTTTATTACCTTGCTTTTAAAGAATCCTGAGTTGCATTAGTAAATCCATCAAATGCAAGGTTAAGGAAACACAACCCATATCCAAGGGGAGCATTTGGATGTGCCAGCTTGCTGATAGTCTTTGAGCTAGTCTGTAAACAGCATAAACAAATAACGCTAAGCTGCATTCATAGACTGAAAATTCCTACATAGGCTGTGAGCTCTGTAATTCTGAGAAGTTCCTAACCTTTAGAAGTGCAAATATCGATACCCCTCCGGCAACAAGAAAAGTACAAAGGTATTCCGGAAAAGTGTATCTTATACCATATACCAGAGTACCCATCAGCATAACTGCATTAAGGTATATTGAAGTTTTTGTTAGACATTTTAAGAGTACCTTACATAATCCAATAATAAATTTAAACTTTTGAAAATCAATAAAAGAATGATGTAAGATTTTCTATCATTTTCTTTTAAATGCTTATACATTAGAACCTGCCAGAAGCTCCTCTATTTAACATTCTAAAACGATGGTAAACAATAATTAATGAAATTATTTTAACCTATCATCAGCACGCAAAAAGGAAATAAACCTACTGAGTAAAAGTTTAAGACACGGATCAACATAATTGTTAGGTCAAAAGCAGTATAACATTCAAGCAGAAGTACAAGGGTTACAAAAGTCTCATAGAATACATGACCACATCACTATCCATTGTTTTGGTAAGACACTAAAGATTCATATCCATTTGCTTATCAAACTTAATAAAATGAAATTAATCTATAAGTTATCCTTAATCTCCCTTAACCAAAAGGATATGACAAATCTTGAAGCACTTAAGCATTGAACATAACTATAATTCAATCATAAATTCAGGGATACTTTGTAAATGAAATAAAAACTCAATTAATTTTCCATTGCTTATAATTAAAATGCAAGCTTTTCTAGTGCATCAAGCACAATGTACTGACCAGGAATCATTTTGGAGGACTTTGCCAGCACCTGCAAGTAATAAAAATAACACCACCCATTAAAAAGCTTATAGCCTAATGCCGAATACATTGAACAAGGCAAAACACACAACAAATTCTGCGGCATGCAGGATGAATAACAAAAACTTGTTTCAATTTGAATACATGTTGTACAATCAGCTTGTGTGTATTTATCATCTGCTTTTTTTATTATTATTATTATTATTATTATTATTATCATTTTCTTATTCTATAGAATAGTTTTCACATTTAATTGGTCTCCAATGAAGAGAGATGAATTTTCGTATACAGTATCAATTCAATTTACAATATCCTAAACTTCCATGTCAAATCCTTCCCCTCACTGCATTGTTCCAAATCCAACCTCATCATTTCAGGTAAAAATAATAAATTCTACAAATCCCATACCAGATTAAATCAATTAAATATGATAGAATCTTAAAAAGCGAAGCAGAAAAAGAAAGTATTGAAGAAATCATGCCTGAGCAGGGTAACTAATATACTTCAAAGCTTCAATTCCCATAGCAGGACCAATGGTGTTGGTAATACCAGCACTCCAATAAGTCCACCAAGGAGCACCACCACTATTCCCACCAGACCAAATCTTTATCACTGTATACGCAAACAAAACCAAAAGTTAAAAAAAAATCATGAATTAAATTATATCAAATCAATCTACATAGTAATTGCTTTACGCATAAAGTAATCAGAGATAGAATCTTACTTATATATGACCAGATTAAACACACCACATTCTGTGCCAAATTCAGAAACGCAAGGTGTTCAAACCTCTCACCCTCGGGACCGAATCGCTTCGTCGACCTGAAACCAAATCGGAAAAAAAAATCAAAAAAGCAGAGCAATGAGTATTTGAATTACAAAAATTCACCGCGATTTCGAGAATGTATAAGTGGATTACGCTTCTTACAGTGTTTCCTGGAGAACGCCTTGGTAGATGTATGCGGACCAGATTCCGGCCACGCAGAAGGCAAGCACCAGAACGCGGCGGAGGCCGCCGCCGTGAGCCTCCATGGAAACACCGAGATCTGGCGGTTCGGGTTTTTTGGTGTTTGCGAACCGGAATGGGAAGAACGGAGAGATTGGAGAAGCGCGTGGGAATGGAACGAAGAAGGACAAGTGATGTGAGCACCAAGTTATGCTACGTGGATCTGCCACGTGGAAGGTTTTATTGGACTGTGACACGCCCTTGCGCGCTTCTTATTGGATGCGCATACGCATGCCGCGTTTTCACTTTGCCAGTGGTCGCGCTTGTTAGTTACAATGTCATGAATTTTTTCTGAAAAAATAATTATTTGATGCTAATTAACAGTCCATTGGCTTGAAATTTTTCTTCATGGAAAATTAAAAAAAAATTGATTTCTTAAATTATTTTATTAAAATTATTAAAAAAATATCAACTAAAAAATCCGATTTTCACTTTCTTAAAGAAATTATTTTGAATAACTTCTAAAAAAACTGAAATCATAACTAGTCACTAAAATAACACACATATATATATATAATTGATTAATAATAAAAAGTATAAAATTAAGTGCAAATATAATGGTTAAGATTTTCAAGATGACACTCAAATAAAAATATTTATTGTGTTAAATATTTTTATAAATATTAATTTATAAAAAAAATCAAGTAACGAAAGTATTTTTATAATTTTATCACAGAATATTTATATTCACTTTATATTTTTAATAAAAAAAATTTAAATTACTTAAAATTAATATGCTCTAAAATATAATGTTAATATTTTTCTACTAAAATCAAAAGATATATGATGTTTGTTTTTTCAAAAGTAATTTAAATATTCAATAATGTACCATTAACATTTTCACATCATCTATCTATAAATATAAGACAAAAATAATAGAAAAAAATATAAGAAAAAAAAAACTATTTTACAGATAGCTAATGTGATAACTTGTGTAATTGCACGATGCCACATAATTTAAATATATAATAAATTATTATCAACAAACTATTAAAAAATTATAAATCAAACTATAAAATTAATTTTAATATATTATAAATCAAATAAAAAATATAAATATAAATTTTTAAACAATCATTTACAATAGTCAAAGATATTCAGTTATACTCATTATCACTTATACTCATTATATCACTAAATAAGGTATGCAAGATTTGTACATTACCAACATATTTTAATTAAATTCTTAATTTTTTTATCAAACTATTTTATTAATAAGTTAAATTTTAAAGTATTAACTTTATTCGTGTTAAATATAAATAAAGAAAATTAATTCAGTAAAACATGCATGTACGATTTTCATGTATACATCAAAACATTGTATATATGATAGGAAAGTATCATTTTTTACTTTTTAAAATCATGATTTATATATAAAAATAATCACTTGTAAGAATATAGATAAGATTTTTAAAAAAGATTATAGGTATAATTAATATTTTAGTAAGACCCTTAATAAATTTATATCACTAATCCATCCCATAGGGTCACATAGGTAAGATGGACCAAATATACAGTATTTATAGTTATATTAACAAATATATCATTTTCATCTTTGCATGATAGGATTGTCAAGCTAAAGGTGTTGTATAACCAAGAATCTTTGACTCTCCATTTTCGTTTATTTTAACCTACCATTTATGAAGTTTGGAAACCTTGCAAATTTCAAGAGCTAGCTTGGTTGAACTAGGAAATATATACCTTCCGTGTAGAGTCTAACATTCTTTCTCACGTAAAATTTTAACTATTTCATCCCATCAAATGATTATAGTTTTGTCACAAGGCAGTTTGATCCATATACGGAACAAATTTTTAATGCCCAATTCACATAATTAGAAGGTCATATAGTCACTGCCTATGACTTGGGGTGTCTATATAAAATAATTTGCTACGTGAATCATTATTACAAGCTATATATATCCGGATAGACTATGAATAGTAATTCTTGTATGTTTCGTGTTGTGTTAGTATTGACTCGACGGTTGTAAAGTGGCAACACGTCTCTGAGTATTTAATTAGCAAGTACCATGAACCTTGCCCGTACTCCATTACTCACATCTCAACCTCAGCAATGACCCCCATCCATGCTACGTGTTTCCAGGGTCTTCAGTCTAAACCCCCCCCTAAGGTGAAGCTGCTTGTCTACTGTTTGCAACCTCGACTTAAGTCTGAACCCCATTTCCTTTTTTTATAAGTATAATTATATATAGTTTTAATTACTATAATTAATTTAATCTTTATATTTTTTTTCAAAAAGTAACAATGTAATATGTAACTAGCATGTTACGTCACTACAACATTACGCAAAAAATAAGTTTTTAGAACGGTAACTTAGATAACAGATAATAAAAATTATTTTATAATTATATATTAGCGGTTCTTTAACCGTTCTCTTGAATATAATACATAGATAGTGCAAAATTTTAGAACAATTTTAGACGCTCTCTAATTCAAAACAAAATCATTCTCAAATCTCTATTTTAGCGTAGTGTAAATTTGAAGTCACGGGTAATATATTATATTTAAATATGCATATTACATTATCGTTATAAGTGATAGCAAATTTAAATTTTAAAAGTGTTAAAATTTATAAACACCAAAAATAACAAAAATATGAAGATTGAAACTTAATTGAATCATACTTACAAAAAATTCAAATATACAGCTTTGCTTATGATTGAACTTCTTAAAATGACAATTTTTAATTTGAATGTATATACACGTGTACACTTAATGTTTCACCAAGTTTTAAAAGAATTAACTTGCTAATGAGTTTACTTTATCGAATTGCTAACATGCAAGTAATATATCAAGCTAACACAAATTTAACTTTGGGATATCAAACTATATATCAACTCTCACGACGTACGTTTTAAGCTTCAGCCATAGTGCACGTGCTTTGACTTTTATATATGGTATTTTTTATACTTTGGTAAAATTTGTAATTAGTTGTGACGAACCTAAAAAGAAGGAGTTGAATGTGGAGGATTATTGCAAAAGGCAGTTTAATGTTTAAATGAATATGTATAAGAACAAAATATGGAGATAGGATTAAGACGTGTACCTCACCCAATAATGTTTAGTAATTAAAAATGGCTCACATGCAAGGAACATACAACTAATATATTGTAATTTCAGAATTATTTAAGTGAAAAATATTTTGAGTCTGATGGGCGATACACATGATCTTTTGGTTGTGATCTCCTAAATCAAGTGGGCCTACACTGATATCGTTATGGAGTATGGACCTTGGATCAAGTGTTTGACCAACTTAGACCCTCTCCAATTGTATCAAAACATCAATTTTTAAAAATGTATAAATATTCAATGCTATGCAAATTTTCTTATATATACTTATATTTTATGAGTGGTATTTTAATTAACAAGACTTATCGATAATCATTTTCTTTTTTATTATTTAAAAAATTTAGAGTTCAATTGATTCTTGATATAAGAATATAACAATTTATTTTATTTTTTGTTAATAATAAAATATAATAATTTATGCTATTATGTTATTATATTGGATTATAATAGTTTAAATTCTTTTTTTTTATACGAATGATGAGTTAAGAATTATTAAGATAAAAAAATTATTTTTTTATTCATACTCCATATCCATTTTAATAATTTATTAAAAATATTTATTTAAAAATATAATTTAATAAATTTTATACAAAATATATAAATATTTTATATTTTATTTCAGTTATGATTATAATTTCATACAAAAATATAATTTTTATTTGTAAAAAATTAAAAATTATTATAATTAAATATCAAAATTTTAATGTTATGTAAACATGAAAGTAATTTTTGATTATATATATATATATATATAATTTGTTGAAAATTTAAAAGATTAAATTAAAAATTATATTAAGTTTAATAGAAAAATAATTTATTCTTTTAAGCATATATCTTATAATATTATTTTTATTTATTTGAAACATTAAATATTTTATCATTCTAATATATTGTAAATATAAAATAAAATAATAATTTATTATGTTTTAATTTAATTTTAATATTCTATCTTTTTTATTTTATCATATTCACTAACAAGCACTCAGCCGACCAAAATATCAATGGTTTTGGAAACATTTAATTTGGATCCCATGATTCGGTGAAAAAGAGTGGCTGCAGAACCAATGTATTTATAAAGATCCGAATTGGATATTGGAAAGTCAATGACAGCTAAGGAATATATATATATATTTGTCGACATGCTTTTAAATGGGTAACTTGTTAATACACTTTTTCTTAAAAATAAACAACACACTTTAGGACTAAATCGTTACTAATCAAATAAATTGGATTGGTCTATTTATTTAAAAAGTCAAACTGCATGCCCAACATGTTCCCACCCGTCCTCATCCTTTGAGCAAGAATTACGGCAATAAAAGAAACGCACAAAAACTAATTATTTCAAAGTAATTTTTTTAATTAAAATTAATATACTTTTATCGCAATTTTAATAAAACTCTCTTGTGCTAATTAATTACTTTTGTTTTGTCAATACTTATTAATTACTTAAACGGCGTAATAGTTTGCATTTGTATTAATTAGGGAACAAATAGAGACGTTGATGGGAAGGCATTACAGCATGAAACTCGCAGCTTTGCTCAACACATATTGACTCATAAATTGTTCGCTGGCTCGCCGACAATGGCCTATGCAAAACACGGTTTAAGGAATTACTATTGTTTTCACGTTATGGAAGTGCTTCCCACTTATATCTCACTAGTACTCGTTTTGATCCAAGCTCATCATAATTCATCTCCACCTCAGCGTGGATCTCGATCAAGCACATATTTTCTGCATTCTATTATTGGAAATTTAATCAAATTAAGTTCAAGTCAATTTAATACATAACCAAACACGTTAATAGTCTTATAATTTTGGATTATTTTAATTTATAAATTTAATTACTAACAAATAAATTTTATTAAAATGATTTCTTTTTTAGTACAAAAATTCATTTATGTGTGGATGCTTTTATTTTAGAAAGAAATTCAAATAAAATTAAAATTACTTTTATATATATAATTATCATAAACGGCAAATAGTTTGATTCAGGTCAAACATTACTTTGAGGGAAAGTCACAGTGAGACGC